GTGTATATTTGCATTATGTCGATTCATAAAATTATCTAGTGGGTTAACAACTTGGCTAGATTATATGCAGTCCCTCCATTACTATCACTTAATTATTGTTGAAACAATGTAGTGTTGAATTAAATTACATTTTGTAAAGATGTCTTATTTCTGATTTCAAATAAAGTTACCTGTATAATTTTTGTAACTGTTTGATCCATTCTGAATCTTTGCACATCTCTAAATTTTCAATGTCTTTTTTTGATAAACTTTTTTTCTATAATTTTGTCTCTTTATCATATTAGTGTGTATAACAAAAACAGTGTAAAGTAATATTGCTGAATGTAGCAAAATTATTCTTGTGGTTTACATTTCCTACTAGAAAATGTATCATTTAATTTGAACAATTTTCTATTTTTATAGATGAGGTTAGTTGAAGTGGAAATTATGCAGAAAAGTTTTAACTTTCAGAGAACCTTGAACAACTCTGATCCTAAAGAATTCTTTATTTATTTTTTTTATTTATTTATTTTTTTTTTTTTTTTTTTTTTTTTTTAAACTATATAAACATTTTATGTACTGTTTGCAAATATTCTTTGTAAGTGATGGATTTTTAGAGTTTTTATTGAAACTTTGATTGAAATGGTATACAAATACATAGTATAGATATAATATTCATGATTGTGTCTGTATTCAGTGACTAACAGTCCCAAGATCTGCTACAAATTTCAATCTTTAGTGCTGAGCATAAGTTATCAAACCAACTGGTAATTAACTAATTTGTTACAGTTACAAATTTTCCAAGTTTGACTCATTAACTAGAAACTTGATTGTGAAATAACTGCATTCAGCCAACAAAGACCATGAACAGCCAATGTTCTGTAAAACAGTAGCCTAATTTGGTTGAGATAATTCCTTTTCTGTGTACATAAAAAAAAAAAAAAAAAAAATGTTGATTACATGATTACTCAGAAATAGATGAGCAATGTAATTACTAGTACTCAATGTTTAATGCTTTTGGTATTCCTTTCTTTTTAAATAAGACTCTTTTTTTTTTTTTATTTATGATTTATGGCTCCTAGTATTTGTAGTAGTCTTTTGCAGTTTGTGGTATAGTATTTTTGTGTTAAGCATGATGGGGTTTTGTGTTGATAGGTGGTATGCATTTTAATTTAGCTGTTATTGAATAACTGGCAAGTTAACTGGTACAATAATGTAATTATTGTGAAGCTTGTGTTTTGATGATTATTAGACATTCATCAATTGGGTGGACACTAAGTTATTTAATGACTTAAAGCTGAAAGTGCACAAGACATTGGATAGTTTGTTTAACCTGGATGATGATAAAACTAAATTAAATAACTTGTATTGATCTTAAATCAAACATTCATAAAAGAAAAATTGCTGGCCAAAATCCACCCACATCTACCTGGTCATGTGGGATTAATAATTTTAAGTTTTCAAGGGACTATAAACATTTTTTCCTAAACTTCAAGCTCTGTAGATTGCATTCGTCTTCTATTTGACGAATTGTATTGCGTCTATCTCCATTAGGGTTGGTTGATTTTTCAACTTTTTTTTTTTAAATATCAAAAAGTATCACCCAAGGAAAGTTGGGTATTGGTATGAATGATAAGTACTGACACCAAAAAGTAGATTTGTAACTTGCACCAATTTTTGAGCATTTAGTTTAAAAGATTGTCTAATATGAAGCACCAGAAAATCTTTGTTTTCATATGTGAAATGGCTTAAAATATTTATAATTTAAATCCAGAAAAGTTTGTCAATTTATATTATTCAAATGAAATGAATACAATATATCAAAGTATCAATTAAATTGAAATTATAAATCCCCCACCCAACCCTAACAGCTCAGATAAGCTGTGTTTTACCTCATTGAGATATGTCAGTAATAACCTTGAAGATATTGTAAAACAGTTATTTTTTTTCTATTATCATTATAAAATATCTAAAAATCTATTGGTTATTGATAGTGGGTCTCTTAAGTTTCTATTTTATATAATAATTGTAAGGCATAAAGTTATAAAAGACATAACAAAAAAAACATGAATGTTGTGAGAATAATAGCAATTTTTATGATTGCATCATATTAAACTGCTTTACATAAGAGCTCTTTGAAGCAAAGGAAGGCCTCATTTCATGGCATAAAACTTTTGTAATTATGTGCCTGTGCCTTGCTTCAATTCCGTAGACTGATTGGGAATCAGTCTACGGAATTGACGCAGTTGTTAATTTTACTGCCCTTTCAACACTTTGAGTGTGAAGGCAAATCAGGCAACTCTAATTTTGTCCCACTCATTGATGACTCCAGAAGTTCATAATCAGAAAATTCCTCTGTGAATCCAGGCTCACAAACTCCATTTTGGGACAGGTCGATCAACTGAGACCAATGTATTGCATCAAAATTTATCTTTGATATTTTTTAACCTCTTTTTGGTTGGCTCTGGACTTCTAAAAAAAAAAAAAAAAAATTAATTAACCTTACTTGTCTTAATTTTTATAATGAAATTAGGATAGTACCTTAAAATGAAACTATAAATCGATGAAATCATTTTAATCAGTATTATGTAAATTACTTACCTAATGGCTAAAATTCTTTTTTATAGCTTCTTCCCTCACTTCCAGTTCATCTGATTTCAGCATTGCATACAACATATTTTCTGGTAGGAGACCAAAATCATTATGTTGAATATTTTCAAATGCAATCTCCTGAATTTCAGGTGTTAATTCCTTAATTCTTTGCAACATATTGAAAATATACAATTGCTGGTTATGAAACTTATTGTCCCTTTTAATTTCAAACCAGCTAACTGCATACACTCCAACAATAAACTGGATAAGGCTGTGTAGTTTGGAAAATACGTTTTTAGGGTAAATGCCTCGTCCACAGTCTGGTGGCTAATGTCAACTATCTTGCTTGGTTTAAGGGCCCAATTTTCCATGCAGCATATCTAGGGTTGACTTTCCCTAGTGAAATCCCTACTGCATACTCTAAAAGTATCTGATCACTACTCAGATGAACTGTTTGATGCTAGAATGTTGGCTATTTAGAGGACTAACTATGGGTACAAATTTGACCTGGGGAAAATTATGATAGTCATTTGAACACAGTCTTCCAAGTGGACCAATAAATGATGTCGAACATCTTGTGTTGCCATCAATGTGCTTAAAAATAGCTCTGAAAAGAAGCTCATTTTTATGTAGAGAGCAACCAATGATGTGTAATTTTCTTTTTATTTGTTTCTCTAGAACTGTAACTAGCCCAGCTTCACAGCCGGTATTTGTATGGGTGTTGTCCAGTAAAACAGCCTTTGGGGTATCAACACTGTTATACTCCTGCCAAAACACTAGTAACCTCCTTTGCTAGAACAGCACTAGTTGCTCCAGTAGTAGTGATAACTCTGAGTGAGGTATTTTCCACTTTCACCACAACCCATCTCCTTTATGCATGTCAAATGGTGTTCTGTTCTGTTCCATTTGTTTTCTGTAATTTTTTATTTCCATCTGCCTCCTCAATTTCTTTATATGGCAATGTATCTTTGTCATGTCTTCCGTCAACACCAATACAAATTTTTTTCTGCTTTATCAATGTGTTTTTGATAGGCATTTTGTTTTCTTTCTTTTGCACAGCCTATTTTAGATTTATTCAAAATTTAAGTCTTCAATATTAACATAGCCTTCAAATCTAAAAGGAAGGCATTTGCAAGGCTTGCTCCTAAGTTTGATGAACCATCAACTCGGTAGCATACTGGTGTATTTTCAAAAGGCTGTAAACACCCTTTGAATGTCTGGCAGGCTCATATTCTTCATATATTTCATCACTATTTGATGACTGGAAAGAATAACATCCTGATCATAAGATGTGGAGGCAATAGGAGATGAATAAATTTGTTTTTGTCTTTCTCCTTCCACTACTCTCTTTTTGGGTTTCTGAATTTATCAACAGGTCCAAGTTGGAAACTACTCTTGGGTCCTATTTTGGCCCTCTGGTGTTTTAAATATTCTGTCTTCCACTCGTTCCTAAAATATTAAATTTTGAAATAGCAAAGCTTAAGTTTGAATAAGTATTTTTTAGAAAATAACTATACTGGATGATTTGTCAAAAAGTAGGTGGCTTTGTTTTATCTAATGGACAAGGTGGTCCTCCAAATTTTGTAGCAGTAACTCTGCAAGTAGAAAGTACAGTTTGTTTTCCAACCATTTTTATAAAAATATCTGAAATGTTTCTGTTATTATAAAAAAAAAAATTAAACAAATTGAATTATAAGTTCTTAAGTGAAATAAAAAAAATCTGGAAAAAATATAATAAAAAATGAAACAATAAGTATGTATTTACTTACTAAATAAATGTAAATAACTTCTTGCGCTCATGCAAAAAAAACAAACTCGCAAATGAAAAATGTCTTCAAAAATAAAAAAAATATTAAATATCACAGTGAATATAAAGTTCTTTCTTTTAATAATTAAGTTTATTAAAATATAAAAGGAACAGACTTAATTATTTTTGTGTTTTAAATCAGCTCAATAAACTTGAAAAAGAAAAAACACATGGAATGCTAACGATATTTCCAGTGCAGACTGAAAAAATAACCGCCTAAAAGAAGCTTGAATTTGTTTATAGAATCTTAAATGAAATATTTTTTGTAATCTTTGCTTTTTAATTTACCCAGAATTGCACGATTTTGAATAAAATAAAACATTTTTTAAGGCTATTTTCTACATTTTTTCTCTTCTTCAAAACCCAGTGTTGATTTTTGATTAGCACCGGGCAAAATTCAGAATATTCGATTATGTTACTATTTAAATGCATTTGCGCAAAAATTGGTAAACTTTCAGAGAAAAATATTTTGTGCAATTATTATTTATGTTAATTAGAAACTTTCTCTGGGTAGAGTTAGTTGTGGTTTCAAAGTAGACCTACCCGAATCTCCATATGCAAACGTTGCTGTAATCTCTTAATATTTGCAGTTAAGTTTTGATTCTCCTTTTTTCTTTAATAGGCTTATCACAGGATGGCTAAAGAGTATCACCCAGACAAAAATCCTGAATCTGCAGAAAAGGTATTTATACCAGTTTCTTTTAAATGATGTAGTTCATGTTCAATACTTGAAATGAAAAAGCTGATTTCTTTATATTTATTTCAAAGAAAAGTGGAAGTTATTTGGAGTGGAAGAAACTCTTAAATTAAATCAAAAGATGATTTAAAACAGGAGATTTTTTTACATCTGATTGTTGTGGTGTCCTCCCTCTTAAGAGTCTGTGCTAGACTCTTCTGCCTACTATAAGATTAGTTGGAGAGAAGGCTTCAGAGAACAGTGACTAGATTGAGTGCTAGTTCATTCGATACACTCACTAGTTGTGTAATACTCTTCTGGTGTACTTACTGTTTAATATAAGGTATATCTGCAAACCTGGTTTTTGTTATTACTTAACCATTTACTTGGTCACAACATTTTGGTGATGAAGGATTTGAAGAAACTGACTTCACGTTAAATCAACTATTTTACCAGTGTTAGCACTGGTAAAGAAAGGAATTTTAATCCAACTCTGACAAAAGGGTATTTGGTATTAATTACAACACTGACAGTGGGTGGGGGTCATTTTCAAAGCGAGGATTTCTACAAGTTCAATTCAGTGGTTGGAAAGAAGGTTATTTTTTCCATTCCAACAAGTCAGTAAAAGAACTGTACAAATCAGACTTATTGCTTTCGCTGATAAGGTAAAGTTAAAATTTACCCCCTCTCCCGCTTTTAAATTTTTCAGTAAAAGAATTGTACAAATGAAACTTATTTAAGAGGGTAAAGAGAAAAAAAATTCCCCTCTCATTTCTTAACTTTACATACCACCACAGTAAAATGGACGAATTTAAAAATGTAATGCTAGAGTTGTTAAAAATACCAACAGGAACAACATTTGCTGTTGGAGCAGAAATACCAAGAAAGATGAGAGGAATTCCAATGAAAACAAACAGAATACCAGAAGAAATTTGAGGAATTGCACTTAGAAATTTAGGTTAGACAACAAAAACTAGAAGAAATGCTCCCTCAAACACAGAATGAGCAAAGGCACTTGTATATGTCCATAAAAAAAAAAGAAAAAAAAACAATGAGGGCAGCAATAATGCATTCTCTCAAAACACTATATGGAGTGCTTTTGAAAACTTCACATTTGCTTCGTACTTTAAACATTACAAGGACTTATACAATATGGATTGTGCAAATTGGGCTAACCATAAAGAGGTTTGCCTATTCCTCAGGAAATTGGGCACAGAAGAATATACTAAGTTTAACTATATTTTGCCTAAGAAAACCAGTGAAAAAACACTGTTCCACAAGCATTGGAAATGCATGAATCTTGCCCGCAAAGATGATGATTATACTACTTTTGCAAGTGTAATCAATAAACACTGCGACGACTTCAAATTGGCAGTTAAGAGCCAATAATTTTAAATGCTTGATTTTCGTCCAGGGTTTGATTTCAGCAAAAGATGCCGAAATATGTTGTTGTGTACTCAACAAGCTTGAAAACGAGCCCGATGTTACATTACAGCAAATTACTGAAGATTGTCAATGTTTCATGAGCATCGGAGAGGATTTGAAAAACACTGAATGGAATGGTGTGGCTCTCATTAAAGAAATATGCCAAAGAAAATTTTTTTGAAAAATACGTCAACCAAAGAATAAAGTTACTTTGCTTTCAAGACCATGTTTCAAGTATGGTCAATTACATTGGTATAGAGATTGTATTTTTAAACATAAAAAATGTTTTAATTGCAATAAAAATTGGGACACAAATTTCCATGCAGGATTAAGAACAAGATGAAAAAAGTGTTGTAAAAAAAAAAAAATTACCAAATCTGAACCAGAAAGTTGTGACATCAGGAAATATATTGAAGTGCAAATATTTAACAAAAATATAAGGCTACAGCTTGATTTGGGTTCAGACTTATCAATAATTAATTATCAAACATGAAAAAAACTGGGTAAGCCGACTTTAAGAATGAACCATATAGCTAGAAGTGTAACTGGCAATCCTATTAAGTTTATGGGCGAACTTATAATGAACGTGTTAAAGGTAAAACTTTAAAACTAAAGGTGTATATTATGAAGAATAGAGGTAATTTGTTCAGGACTGATTGGTTAGAACAATTTCAACTTTGGGATATGCCTATTAACTCATTATGTCAAAAAGTCGACTGATGAAGCAGAAAAGTTGAAAGGTGAACTTAAAAAAAATTTTCCTGATGTTTTCAATGGAGGACTAGGAAAATGCACCAAAATGTCTAAGTTTGAGTTGAAGCCAGACCCAGTTTTTAAGAAAAAACGTAACTTTTCATTTGCCTCATTAAATCAGATTGGCGAAGAGTTGAATCGTCTTGAGGAAATGGGAGTTCTGGCAAATGTTGAATATAGTGAATGGGCATCTCCCACAGTTTATATTTTAAAAAAAAAAAAAAAAAGGCAAAGAAATTCATGTATATGCTGACTTCTCTACAGGGCTGAACAGCACTCTAAAGAATCACCATTATCCCCGTTCCAAGTCCAGAGGAGATATTCACTCAGCTCGGAGGAAAATATTTCTCTAAGATCGACTTAAGTGACACATATCTACAAATACCCGTGGACGATTAATGCTTGAAGCTCTTTTGAATAAGCATCCACAAGGTTTTTTTTTTTTTTTTTTTTTTTTTCAGACTTCTTTTTGGGGTTAAGGTCACTCCTCCCATTTTTCAACAGGTCATGGATATGGTGTTATGGTCTGGATTTTGCATTGGACCATCTCGATGACGTCCTAATGGAAAGCGAGAGCATCAAGGAACACAAATTGCACGTTTGGCAGGTGTTCAGGAGAATCCAGGATTACAAATCCAAATTAAGATGGAAAGTATGACTTTTTCTTAGAGAGGATTAAGTACTTGGAGCAAATAATTGACACAGGAGACGTCCCAACCCAGATAGGGCAGTGGCAATAAAGAATATGCCAGCACCAGAAAATGTGTCTGCTCTTCAAAGTTTTTTTAGGTCTTACCAATTATTACATTATTGTACCAAGTGGGAATGGATAACCAAATGCCAAGAAGCATTTGAGAAAATAAAGGAGGAAAAAGACCCATCTCCTCACTTATGAACTTTGAATTACCAGGAAAGTACAATACGCATTGGATAGTTTGTTTTGTTTTTTTTTTTTTTTTTTTTTTTTTTTTTTTTTGAACATTGAATAGATTGAGTGCTAGTTCATTCAATACACTCTCACTAGTTGTGTAATACTCTTCTGGTGTACTTACTGTTTAATATAAGATATATCTGCAAACCTGGTTTTTGTTATTACTTAACCATTCACTTGGTTCACAACACTTATTTAATTCGGTCACAAATGTCTTTTTGGTAGGAGTGAAATTCTTAAGTTGAAAAAAAAAAAAAAGACTTCAAAAATATTCATTGAACAGTATTTTGGTATTACACTTTACCTATGAACTCCATGTATTCCATATAACACTTTCATTCGTACTAACTTCCCTGTACTAAATCTCGTTCTGTAAGCAAAAATGCATTTTATGTAAATCTTTGATATGAAATCTTCTTTTTTTTTTTTTTTTTTTGTAACATTTAATGCTGATACTTTCAACTTGTCTACTTTGAAAGAATTCAGTTAAAATACTCCTAACGTTATTTCATGACTAGCTTTTTTCAGATACCTTATTTAGATAAGAACTTATTTTTAAGTGGTAGATTTTCTAATGCAAATTCTTAAAATTGATTGATATGAATTTCTTTATAGTTGAAATAAAAAAAAAAAAAAAAAAAAAAAAAAATTACTGAATTGGTATAAAATTGTAGACAAACTCTTACAACATTTTTATGCAATGTTGGTACATACTTCAGGGGCTTCCATTCCCATCATCAGCCAAACATATTGACTTAATTTTCAATGCAAAAATACAATACAGACTTGTAATGGATACTAACTGAAAAAAAGATGTTTGCATGACATGGTTGTTAAAATTCTGAATTTTTTTACAAATTGTATGTATTTAAATTTTTTGTGATCTCCACAATGTTGGAGAAAAGGTAAAAAAAAAAATAGTGTGTTTTTTTTTTTTTTTTTTTTTTCTCCCCTCTCTTCACTGATGCTTTAAAATTGGACATTTTATACAGGGCGAGATGTTCCATTGCACATTCATCCATGAAATGTCTCCCCAATATAAGTAACTTGACAGTGGATTAAAATATATGATGTGTACTATAGAATCAATCTGTAATTTATCTATATTTAAAAACGAGGGTATAAAAATTTATAACCATATGTTGTACAAATCTTTTTTTCTCTCTTCTACTCCTCTTCAAGAATTTTGGGTTATTGTCTGTTACAAGTTTATATTGTACCTTTGCATTTGAACTTGGTTAACTATTTCCATCTTATATTTTATACTCTATGTAATCTTAACTCTTTATTTTTTTATTTTTTTTTTTTATTATTATTTCTTAGTTTAAAGAAATTAGGAATGCTTATGACATTCTCTCCAATCCTGAAAAGAAAGAAATTTATGATAATTTTGGAATGCAAGGCCTTGCAGATGGTTTCAGTCCCGGTGGCCCAGGTATGTTTGTTTGGCTCCAATATTTTCACTTAATCAACATTAGCTCCCTTTCCATATTTCTGAATTGGTCTTTGACTTGATCCTTTGATATTTATATCTAAATAAACAAATGTTCAAATTTATATGGAATGTTAATTATCTATATATTCTAATTGCAAAGAAAAATATTAGTTCATTCAATGACATTTCATAAATATACTAGATTTTGAATCTGTCTACAATTTGAGACTTGCAAATTTTCTCCTTTTCAGGCTTTCCTTTTGGGGATGTTTTGGGAGGAATGTTTGGAATGAGAGGTGGCTTCATGGGTAGTCGACACCGTCGCCAAAGAGGAGATGATACTACACATCACTTGCGGTAATGAATGACGGTTTTAATGTTACTACATAAACAAGTTTTCTTATGAAAATCCAATGATGTGGCTGCCAGTTTGGTTTAAGATAGAAAAGTAACAGTAGCTTAAACACTCTTTACATTATAAGTATACAAGAGAATCTGATTTGCACAATACATGTAACCATGAAACAAATGGGCTACAACTGCAGAAGATGCTGTACTACTCTTGAGAGATAAGAACAGGCTGCAATTCACTAAGGTTGAACGATGGAAGGCTGGAAAAATGTTACCTGGTCTGATGAATTTGTCATAGACAACATTGAAGGGTAGATCCATTCTCTCTTCTAATGACAGTTCAGGTTGGATGTATAATGGTATGGAGAATGTTTTCTTGGGATATATTGGGACTTTTGGTAAAAATAAAACATTGGTTAAATGTTGCAGCCATTCTTGGTATTGTGGCTGACCACCTGCTTCATTTGATGGATCTGGTGGCCACTTCTAGCAGGACAATGCATGTTGCCAATCAAAAATAACAGTTTCTTTCATGGAACACAGCAATCCCCATTCTCTTTTAAAATGGCTTCCAGTCTCTGAATCTCGGTTCTATAGAACACCTTTTGGATGTGGTGGAAAGATAGATTTGAATCCTGGATGTGCAGCCAACCAATTGAAAAATTGTGGGATTCTGTAATCACAGCATGGACCTAAATTTCCTGAGTGCTTTCAGGACATGATTGAATCCATACCAAGACTACTTGAGGCTGTTTGGAAGGTAAATTGGGGTCCAATCTGGTACTAGAGGCGTATTCCTAATAGTTTTTTTATTTTTTATTTTAGTAGTGTTGAAGTGTTTTCTGCATAATTTTTCTTTTTCTTTGTTTCGCTATATAATAGCTCAAAATATGTGAAACTTGGCAATACATTCCTGTTCTGAGAATAATTAATGTGTGTGAGAGATAACTGTCATGCCATGTCAAAACACCAGCAAAAATTTCTCTGCTCCCACTGACGGCGAATTACTTGAAATTTGACACAAATGTTCCACTTCATGAGTTAGGAAATTGAGCCAAGTTATTTTGTGCTAGACTTCCCTGTTCCAATTTTTTGGTGGTGGTTGTAATTTTCCTATTTTGCCTCTAAATTAAAGCCACGCAACATTGCCGAATCACCGTGTTTTTTTTTTTTTTTTTTTTTTTTTTTTGTAAATTAAAGAAAAATACTTCCATACCTTCAATATTTCTGAAATTTGGTATGTAGGGCAAATAAATGTAGAATCCAAATATTTAACTATTTTAAGCCTACACTTGATAGAAAATTTTATTTTACTCACCCAAATACATCACCCTAAATCAACAACTTTTCACTTATGTAGCTTAGGGTCAGTCTGTCAAAAACACGTCCTCTTCAATTTTCATAATATTTTTTGCCTAACATCTACAATGCCTGCTCAAGTTCACCAAAAAATTTTGTGATGGTTTTAAGTCTACTTTAGAAGATAATCCCTGCCAAGTTTTTCCTACATATGTGCATGATTTCCGAGAAAGATTATAATTAAAGACGATCATCCTAATGCTCCATGACCTCTAAAATGTTGATATTGTGCTAAGTAACTTCTTAAAATATCCAATAAGGTTGTTTTTATTAATTTAAAAAAAAAAAAATAATAATTTAAATATATTTTGCAAATATTACTTTAAAAAGTAAACATTGCCTTATGTATGATAATCAACAGTGCATAGAAAATTTGTAGATGGCACTTAACAAATGAAGTTAAAAGAAATTCTTTTTGTTTGTGTTTCTTTTAATTTTATTTTGGTAAATTATTTTCATGAAACAAACATTTTTTTTTTTTTTTTTTTTTTTTTTTCCTCAAAAAAAGTCATAAGATAAAATGTGAATCTTTAAAACATAATATTTGAAGTTGGAACAAAACATAGTTGAAGGAAATGCTTTCATTACTTTTTAAAATTTTTATTTTTAAATAATTTTTCAAAATTATTTTCATGAAACAAATATTTGAATTTTGTTTAATTCAGAAGAAAATCATAAATGAATATACAAAGTCTTTAAAAGATTACATTTTAAACTACACTATGTACTAAATTTTGTTGTGCATATAGACTAAATTGTTTTGGATATAATTTTTTGCAAAGATGACTTATCCATCTTGAACAAATAATAAACTCTACCATTTGCTATTGTAGGAACATCAACTGTGCACAGAATATTCATTAATGGTACAAAACATATCCTTAAAATCTTCTTTCCAGTAAAATGAATGTGATGGAAGAGTTGGGTGCATGAACTTAACCAGCAAGTCCTTATTCTCCATATCAATTTCCAGGACCATGCCAATCCAAATTTTATTGTCGCACTTGCAACAAACATATCCTGAAACAAAAAAAATTACTGGTTTTTCCTCAGCCTCAATAGAAAAGTCATATATTAGGTCATAGTTTTCATCTTTGCTACATTGTTTCATAACTATTTTATCTCTGGCAAGTGGAATAAATTGATGAAAACTTCTTGTTCTTGGGACTGTGGATGCATTTTTGAATCCCATGGTGAGACTCCTCCTCACTTCCTCAACTTCTTCCTTTTCAACCAGAATGAATTTGATACCTTCAATTGCAGATTTACAATATTCAAACATAGATTCTGTGGAAAGGATTTGTTTGGTAGTTGGTCTTTTGGAGACTTTCTTTTGACACTATCCCACCTATGCCATCACATGGTTGTTTACCATGACTTGTTGCAAAGAAATTCTATTTTGCATTGAGCCCAAAATCTTTCTGATGGTTGCACAAATTGGCAAAGTTCTTATAATTCTTGTATCACGCTGCACAACCATCAGTAAAATACTCGATATTTTTTATGTTTGGCAAAGTAGCTTTGATTACCTCAGTTTTTTTTCTGTATCATATAAACAAATGCTACATCATGTGAGTTGTCAGTCGACATAATGCAGAAACATTCACTTTGCATTGCATTTTCAAGCTTAAAGTAGAGTAGCACTGCATGTAAAGTACATTAAGTATTCCAATGATCTCATCTTGAACTATAAATCTGTAATTCTTAGCAAAATCTCTCGGGAACAAAATTTCACTATCGCTAATCTTCTTTTCTGAACATAAAGTACCTTGATTGTGATTTAGCCAAGTAAGAATGAGGTGCTAATTTATTCAGTTGCAAAGCTAAATCAATGTAAGCTTGATAAGATTCCTTTTGTGTTGTCAAAGTTGATTGGTCAGTTGTCCATTTGGAGAATGCTATTGATTCATCATTATCAATATATCCTATGGTGTCATAAAAAAATTTTTTCAAGCTGCTCTGATGATTTAGGACAATTTGGGCACCTATGAATCATACACTCTCTGCTACTGGTATTACAGACAATATATTTCCAGAGATCTTTATATGATGTATTCAGTGGTTCCAGTAATTTCATATTTTGGTGCATGCACATACAACATGCGTACCTGCACTACCAGCAAGGACAAACCATTTTGTCCTTAGACTATAAAATTTTGAAAATCCTAAAGGTACTGTTGGGTTCTGTTCCTTGAATGCTCTGAAGAGCTCATTTACATTGCACAAGATGAGTCTTTTCTGCTGATGAATATTACATTTAATACTAATGTAATCTTTCCTGCCTGGCATCAGTCAAGTATATTTATCATCTTGATAAAATGCTTTCACTAACTGTGCAATATCAGCAGGCAAAGACTTGCCCCTTTTGGTTCTGGCACAGTTAAAATACCTCTTTCCAAACACAATTTGCGAGCCTTGTGTACAATGTTCTGAAACACCAAACATATACATGACTTTTGTGTGACCAATCAGTAGGGGCAAGTGTCAAGATCTGTATTTTGATTTTAGTTAATTCCATGGTCTTCACTTTTGCTACAAGAAGCTCTATCATTTTATCAAAGCACTTAGCTTTATCTAAAATCTCCTTTTGATTTTTAAAGCCTCATCATTCAACAGCTCATACTTAACATTTAATGACTTGGTTTTTTTTTTTTTTTTTTTTTTTTTTTTTTTTACACATTGCATTGCAAAACATTTTTCTCTTACCTAAAGTAGCTTTTCCTGAGTAATGAAGTCCTTTTGTTTTCAGTGGAGAAATTGCAATAACGGAGAAACATTCATTGATAATTCTCTTTTCTGTTTCTGCAGAAGTACTTGTATCGACCTCCTTCATTTCCTCATCTGATACACATCTTGGTTCTTCATTATTACTACTCTTTTCTGATTCTGCAGAAGTACCTGCTTCAAGTTCTTGTATTTCCTCATCCAATACATGCCTTGGTTCTTCATCATCGGGAAGTAGTTTGTGGATTTGTATTCAACAATTAATGCAGTTTCTTGCCTGGGATTAATACCAACTTAGCCTTTGCCTTATCTGCCATCTCCTTTAATTTGCTTTTTATGATTTTTAAATGGATTACATCTCTTTTCAAACCATTCGTGGTTAGTCAGCAAAGTCGGCTTGTGATAGTAAGTCTGTATTTTATCCTCGTCAAGTCCTGTTCTATAGGCAATAAGCTTTACAGCCATTGCATCCAACTGATCAACTGAAATAAATCCAACCTGTTTATCATTGAATAAACCATGACCTGTTTCAACTGTTAGTTCAGTACAAATAGAACGATTCATCTTTAACTGAAAAAAGAAAACTGTACTTCAAATCCAGTGCACAAGTAAAAAATACCACCTTTCTCCTTGGATACTGGATGATAAGTGACAGATGTTTCAGGACCAGACACTGTACCAGCTTTGGTCAAAGGAGGGTCATTCAAAGTTCCCCATTTGACCTGATATCATCTTTATCACATTTATGGCCTAGGTATCATAGATCTTGCTGCTACCAAAATTAGTCAAGGACAGTTAAGGACAGATAAAAATGGAAAAAACACTTTGATACAGTTTTAAGGAATTGTTTTAATCACCCTTTTTTTTTTTTTATATATACACCGAAAAAATCATTTTTGTTCCATAAATTGATTATTTAAATTTGTAAAAAAAAAAAAAAAAAAAAAAAATTCAAAACGAGAATAATTAAGTAGATCACAAACAGTATTTCTTTCAACTTAAATGTTTAAATATTCTATGCACTATTGATTATCCTATGGGCACGTTTAACAAAATTTAGTGCAGAGTGTAGTTTAAATGTAATCTTTTAAAAACTCCTTTTATATTGATTTTTAATGACTTCTAATTAAAACAAAATCAAATATTTTTGTTTCATGAAAATAATTTTGAAAAATTATTTAAATAAAAATTTTAAGAGGTAATGAAAGCATTTCCTTCAACTCTATAAATGTTAAGTGCTAACTACAAATATTATGTTTTAAAGATTCACATTTATGACTTGAGAATGAAAAAAATCAAATGTTTTTTGTTCCGTGAAAATAATTTACCAAAATAAAATTAAAAGAAACACAGAATTTCTTAACTTCATTTGTTAAGTGCCATCTACAAATTTTCTATGCATTGTTGATTATCATACATGAGGCAATGTTTACTGCTTTTAGAGACAATCTATCTGTACAAAAAGTAATATCTGCAAAATATACTTAAATTTTTTTTTTCTTTTTAATTAATAAGAATGATCTTATTGAATAGTTTAAGAAGTTACTTAGCACAATATCAACATTTTAGCAGTCATGGAGCATTAGGATGATTGTCTTTAATTATAATCTTTCTTGGAAATCCTGCACATGTAGGAAAAAACTCTAAACTTGGCAAGGTCATATCTTCTAAAGTAGACTTAAAATGTCACAAAATTTTTTGAACTTGAGCAGGCATTGTAGATGTTAGGCAAAAAATATGAAAATTGAAGAGAACGTATTTTCAATACATAAGTGAAAAGTTGTTGATTTTGGGGTGATGTATTTGGGTGAGTGAAATAAAATTTTCTATTAAGTGTAGGCTTGAAATAGTTAAATATTTGGATTCTACACTTATTTGCCCTACATATCAAATTTCAGCTATACTAAAGTTATGAAAGTATTTTTCTTCAATTTTTAAAAAACACTGAGATTCAGTGACGTTGAGCGGCCTTAATTTAAAGGCAAAATAGGGGGATATACCCCCCCCCCCCCAAAGGACTTTGTGCAAAATTTCAAGTAATTCAGTGTTGGTGGGTGTAATTCCCGGGTGAATTGACATTAAATTTTTAAAAAAATTTTTTTCTTTCAGTGTAACGCTAGAAGACTTTTATAATGGTAAAACTGCCAAGCTACAGTTATCCCGAACTGTTCTCTGTAAAGCATGTGGAGGGTAAGTATTTTAATTTTGTTTATTAGGTTGGGGGGGGGGGTCTTTAACCTCTTTCCATAAGATAGCTTAATACAGATTTCCAAATTGAGACTATTACCACATTTTGTTTCAGAGCTGGTGGCCGAGGAAATGTTTTGACGTGTCGGATGTGCCATGGCCACGGTATTAAGAAAACGATGCGGCAGCTTGGACCTGGCATGATGCAAGAAATACAGACCACATGTCCAGAATGCCGTGGTGAAGGTAAAGAATTATTTTTTCTGTATTTGTCAGTTTTTTTTCTTTAGAACAATTTACTTGAAACGTTTCAATTTGTTTACAATATTTGAATCTGCATTGAAAAATAATCTTCACCCACTCCCAATAGTCTGTACTTGCTTTAAAATTGAATCTTTAAAAATATTAACATTTCGTTTCAAATGGTTTACAAATTTTTCATGTTTGTCTTGTAACATATTGCAGTTCTCATTCTATACAATCAAGAATCCTGTTTCACAGCTTTTGTTGTTGCAAAATTACTTGACATTGTGTATGCAGATTACAATTATTTTAATCAAATTACTATAATTGATACGTAATTATATTCCATTTTTCTATTCTCAGTGTGCCACCTAATATCCAAAATTTTATCAGGACGGAATTATGAATTAACTTAAACTTTACACTGTATTAACTAAATGTATACTTAAGTTAACTTTTACATACTTTGTTCAGTTAGTAACAATAACTTTTTTTTTTTTCTCCTCCTCCTTCCTACCTTCTCAGGAGAAAGTTATAGTGACAAGGACAAATGTGTTCCATGCATGGGAAGAAAAGTGGTAAATGAAGATAAAATTCTAGAAGTTCATGTTGATAAAGGCATGAGAGACGGACAGAAGATTTTATTCAGAGGTGAAGGCGATCAGTTGGTATGTATATATTTATGTATATGATAGATTGAAAGACTTTCCTATTTTTGATCTTTTTAAACTAACCTTGTGTGGTTTCATTGCAGCCTGATGTTGATCCGGGAGATGTCATTATCATCTTAACCCAAATTGAGCACAAGAAATTTGTTCGAAATGGAGAAGATCTTTACTATAAGCATACTCTTGGCTTAACTGAGGCTCTTTGTGGCTTCGAAATGGTGTTAAAACATCTGGACAAACGTCAGTTGCTGATAAAGTCTGAACCTGGAGAAGTCTTCCGTCCTGGTAAGTACAATCCATTGTTCAATGACTTCACCAAGGTATTATTGAAAATTTTATAAACACTTTCTTATTGAGCTTGTAAGAAATGATTAATTTTTCTGTGGTTGATTCTACCTTCTAGCTCTTTTAAGTAGATGATAGAGTACTAATAGCTATTCTTTTTCTGTGTCTTGCTATATATGCTTTCTAGATTAATCTTTTTATTTTAATATGTAATTCTTTATTTTAGGGGCCAGGAAAGTTATAAAGGAAGAAGGAATGCCAGTTTATAGGAACACATTTGAACGAGGAGATTTAATTATTGAATTTAATATAAAATTTCCACCCCCCCACTTCATTGGAGAACCAGAACTCAAAGTAAGCAACTTCATTTTATTTATTTATTTTTTTTCTTCTCACTCTCTTGGTGAGTTACTTGATATCTATTGATTTATAGTTCAGGAAATTTGGATGCAACTCTAGTGAGTTCAGAATAGTTTCAGAAATATTTGGAACTAAAACTGGTGAGTTACTTCAACTGTATAATTCTTTAGGGTAAGAATATTTGCTGTAGTTTTGGACCATGTTGAAAATACAAACTTCATTGACTTGACTATTCTGTCAATTGGGTCACTTGCATATGACTTCTAATCTCCTGAGATTAGTTTTTGTGGGAAGTGGGGTGGCTTCCTTTGCAGATATACCTATTGACCTTAACCTCACTGGCTCTCAAGTTTGTGGGGTATGTATCAAATTATCTTACATGACAATGACAGCACTTACAACAGATTTATTGCTTTTTCTTTGTGGCTTGTCAACTGCCTCATTGTTATAAGACCTGGTGTATTCATCTTGCACAATGAGAGAATATTTTCCGATTACTTCAGTTTTCTTTTTCAAATGTTCAATTAATAATTGAATAATTCTGAAGTCTGAATATGTTGCTTAGCCACCTGCCAACATGGATTTCAAGAGGCTGCTTCAAGGACAATATTTATCTCTTTGTGTGTGTGTATATTTAGGCACATCATATTCATTTTGGAGAGCTTCTGTCCTTTATGGGACATCTTTGTTGCCTGTTGGATAGGTCTTCAGAGGGGCATTCTTGGTAATTCTTCCAATGTGTTTGAGTATAAAATTTGTGAGGCCTTATTCAGTAAGTACCTTTTTGATGTGGAGTAATCTCTCATGTGAAGTTTCTCAAATGTTAGACATTATCTCATTCAGGAAGAAGCATTTAAACTGATTTGAATATTCAGTAATTCTGAACATGATACAATTTAGATATTTTAAGCAGAAAAAATCTGGTATTTAATAAGAGCAAAAACATTCTGTAGCTGAGAATTGAGTTAGCTTTTATCTGAATACAGTTGAAGATTTTTATAATTAATTGGATATTTTAACTGAAGTTTAGGCATCTGTCTTTTTATGTGAAAACAATAGCCATCTGGATCCAATAACATGGCCCGAGAATGGCTGTAAGGTAACTGATTGATTGAAACTTGTACATAATTGAGTTTTTCACTGTCAGTTTCCATTGTTTTATCTTGAGGTTATCATTTTTGTACAGCCAAGTCATCGAGGATTCAAGAAAACGGTTTGGCACAGGTCTGCTTTGAGAACTTTGCATTCTATAAGGAATTTAAATGTTACTGACGAATGGGAATTTTTGCCAAATATTTTGTTCAAGCACCATGTTGGATTTTCCTATATGACAAAAACAAGCATTTTAAACAGCCATGATGAAAGTCAAAGATCTAAATTAGGAAACATTATAGGGCTGAGGTTGTATCTGAATACTCCATCAGTGAAAATAGGATGTGGCTATATATGGAAGACAACTCATGGGTATACATAACACATCTTGTGGCCCAAAATATCATTTTCATGAGTTTTAACTTTTTATCTGAAATACCCTTACAAGCAAGTTTTCTATCTTTGAAAAGAGGAATTCCTGCCCTGATAAAAATTCAGCTTGGATTTCCATTCACTTTAAAGATGAAGTTGTCAAGATGCTATCATCCAAAAATGCTGTTCTTTTACAACTGTGAACACTTAGAAACAACCTTCATGATCACTCATTAGTGCTTTGCATAACATCAGCATACTGAAAGTTACAACTAGTTGTTTAGAGTTGGAAAGTTTCTTGATGACTCTTCCCTCGTTTGTAGGATTACTGAGGATCTGAGATAAGTAAATTTGGAGGAATTTCCTCATGAAGCTGGGTCAGAATTTAACTTGATAATTGTCTTAACACCAAAAATGTCTTTCGAATTCACTTGTAATTATAAATGCTCTTGAAAAATTCTTTGCTTTTGTTTTTCTCCAAAAATTGTTGTTTTTTTTTTTTTTTTTTTTTTCCAAGTATGTATTAGCACAACTGCTGCATATTCTTGAGTCATTAAGAGAATGAATCAAGATTGTCATATTGGAAAAAATGCTCTACTCTATGCTGTCAGGTTGAGGTTCTTTATTTGCTGTTTCTAGAGTCTCAATTTGCTTGGCTGGGATTATTGCCTTTTTATGCTATTATGATTTGAAGTTAACCTTGCATACTGTAATGGCTCAACAATACAAAAATTATGTCAGTGGATCTAAAATTGTTTGAATTAGTATAGATATGTATTCTGTTATAAGTGGTCAGATTTAATTTAAACAGCCAGAAATTAATTTTGGGTGTTTAGGATATTAAAATTATTTGTAGAATTTTTCTAGTGTTTTGCAAATTCAATTTTCTTTTAATAGGAGTTGGAGAAGCTTCTGCCAGAGCCATCACAAGTCTCTGTTCCTATGGATGATGATACAGTAGAAGAAGTCACTTTAGTTGAGATGTCTGCCTCACGAAGAAACAATAGACGCAGTGAAGCCTATGAAGAAGACCATGATCACTTCAATCATCGAGGCAGTGGTGGTGCCCATATGCAGTGTGCACATCAATAACTTGCTAGTTTTAGCATTATTATATTGGATTCTACTTTTTCACTCCAAATATCTGCAACTCCTTGTAAATTCCTGTACAACATGCAGTAATAATTATAACAAAAGCTATTTTTCTTCTTTCACCATTTTCTTGAAAGTTAAATCACTCCCATTTTCTTCCCTATTCTTCAAGCAAACTTGCTCTAGATAACTTTCTGCCAGAGCAGAAAGGAGTAGACATTTACTGCCTTCATTTCTCAACACAGTGTGAATACTTGTGTAGATGTGTGGTGTGTAAATGTTGCTCAGTAACTGGACAGCATGCTGCTACCTTGATATCGGTAGTCACTTTCTACCCCAATATATTTTCTGGCATGGATGAAAGTTTGTTTTTATATAGGTGTATATATATATATATATATATATATATATATAGTGATATATATATACACATAAGTGAGAAAAATATTAGGCCAAATTTCCCTATACTGCAAATTTTCAAGTTTTTGTTTGCCCTCCTCTCCAGAGGCTTATTAAATCCACTTGTATGCCCTTTCTCAAGGGTTAAAAATCATTTGAGCTGCTTGTTCAGTTATAACTTCTATTCATATTTTCCATGCTGTTTTTTTTTTTTTTTTTTTTTTTTTTTAAATAGCAAGTCTCAAAATACAAACTTAGGATAGGTCTTCCCTGCACTCTTTTAACTATGTAAACTTGTTAGCCTTTAAATCAATTTTAATAGTTCAGGTCCTGGCTCTACATTGTTCTTTCCATCAACATGTTTTGTCATGTATTTGCATTATGGTCTCTATCACACCCCCACCCATTGAATTTGACAAATTCTAACTTACACCTCTTATATTTTATACATAATAGGCCAACTGTTCCCATTACTAATTTTATTTAACTTGAAAAAAAAAAAAAAAGAATGGTCAGGTGCAAAATAAAATGACTACATAAAATAGAACATATGCAATCATTTACTTTTTTTTTTTTTTTTCTTTTTTTTTCCGTTGTGCTTCTCTAGGTTAATTTGTTTCATTATCTTGTAGTTGATTGCTGGACTGAAATTTCTACTAAAAAATAATTGAGTAAGATGGAAGTTGGCTTTTATATAACACATTTTTTTTTTTTTTCCTCCCTCTAAAATGAGAAGTTATTGTTCCATGGTTGTACATTTGACTAAAATGATTCTGAGACTGATATAATTGGGTAACTTCAAAAATCATCATGATATTTAACTTTGGCAAAATGAATTCAATATAACATTTATTTGGACACGTTGTCTGCCTCCCAGGCTAATTATTCATTATACTAATATTAAACCTTTTTAAAGGTGTGTGTGTGTTTTTTGGGGGGGTCTTTCTTCCCTACCCTCTAAGCATATCTTGTAAAGTTCAGTTGGTATTTTCAATTTAACCTTTACAGGCATAAATATTTCATTAATTGGAATTTGTTTTATTTTACAAAATAACTTGATTACTTATTACTTTCTATCAATTTTATTTCAATAAATGAAAAATACTTAGGTGATGTCAAGAACACTTGTTCTTTTTTTTTTTTTCCTCTTTTTAATAAGTTTACTTAATAAGTTTACAGAACTTGAAATAGGCTCTTGATCAGTACCACTCTCCTCTGTTAAAAATGTTCAGTTGTTAATTTTGACTAAAATGAATTTCCTCATACTTCTGCCATTTCACAAGCTGTAATGAATATCCTCCACTCATTCCTGAATGCCAGAACAAAAATATAGTACTTTTTTTTTTTTTTTTTTTTTTTTTGTCATGGATTAATCAACCCTATTAAAAATGCAGGAAAAACTAAATTTTTTTTTTTAATTTCTCCAAGCTTCAAAACCTGGTCCACACTGATTCACAATATCAGATTACCTTAAAATTAGTGTACAAAATGTGTGAGTGAGTTGGCTCTTGTAAACATTTGAAGACTTTATTCAGGAAAGTGTTATACATAACATTAGATAAAAGGTCCCCCCCCCCCCCATTTGTTAGAAAGCTATAAAATGTCTTGTTTTCTTCTTGCAAAAGTTCTGTTTTTTAAATTGGTATTTATAGCAAAAGGCATTGAACATATTGCAAAAATACAATTAAAATGACTTTATTCATTCAATATAATTCAACCTGGAGTTGTTTCATAATTATTTAATTGCAATAGTTTTGAAGAATAAATCTTAGATCCAATAAATATGTTTAGAAATGAAGCTTTATTAAATTATATTTAGTAAAGTAACCTCTTAAAATTTCCAAGATAGAAAAATAAAACTCAAATCAGAATTTTAATTTTTTTTTTTTTTTTGAGTCTTGTGCAATGTCATTGCAAGTCATCTTCAGCTAATAAAGCAAAAACCAGTTGAATACACGGCACAAGTAGGAATTTGCTTACTGCAGGTGTTTTTTGGCTGTGGAACTTCTCAAAATATCAGCTTCATTCCTTCTGTATCCACAGTAGCATTGTATATGACAGCACCTTTCAAGTCCTGAAAAATAAAAATGTCTTCTGAAGAGTGTCTCCATCGTTGGCTGAAAGATTTATGTATTTCTTTTATTAAGCATAAGTTGCAAGATTTGTATTCAGAAGTTAGCATTGAAATCTCTTGCGTGGGTGTTTTGGGCTTTCTTCCAGAGAAAACCATGTATTCTGATCCCCATTTTTCTTGGTGACATAACTTTCATTTACAAAAAATTCCTGAAAAAGGGTTAAATTCTACCTGTCTGAAATTACCATTTATTTAGCATTTTTATATATATATTCACCCACCCAAGTTGAACAGGGACATCGTATTCAGATCTCTACTGCAATTATCTTACTAGTAAAATACTAAATTTTTTTTTTTTTTTTTTTTTTTTTTACAAAGAATGATCAGAATTTTTTTTTAGGCTTATCTCTCTAAAATACTGGTAGATTGCAAACTTATAAAAGCACGAAGGCAAAATGCTGTTGGCAGAAAAGACAAAAGGAAAAGATAAATAAGCAGTTCAAAAAAAAAAAAAAAAAAGGAATTGTTAATTTCCAGAGTTAGTTTTTCTCAAATCATCACAACACAAAATTGTGCATTGGATGTCAAAGTAAAGAGGTAAGGAGTTTTAAACTAGTTCATAATTAGATGCAATGTAATCAATGGAAAAAAAGATGACAAGTTATCCATTATTCTTTTGCCTAACCCTTTCAAAATATTTGCTCCTCTAAACAAAGGGAAGTATGCTATTTGTTTTTGGAAGGGAGAAACATGCAAGGGGGGTTGGTAAATGTTTATGGAAAGGGTGTATTTGATAGGTCAGAATTAATAGTAATGCCATTACTTTTATTCACCTATCAAAAATCGGAGCAAAGCTTCTGAAGATATGCAATATGCTTTTTGTAACATCAGGCTGTCATAGTCGCAACTTAATCAGATGTAATCACATATTGGCAATCTCGCTGACAGACCTAACCTAATACCATCACTCATCTGTTTGGAGCTATGAAGGAGGCACTCAAGGGGATGATCAGGTGAAATATACACATGGCTAAGAACTGAGGTATTGGTGCATTCAAAGGTGAAAAACACTGCATTTGTTGACTAGATTTGGAATTCTGAAACTAGTATTCATTTTGGTATGCTTTGTGTGATATTCAACTGCTTGTAAAAAAAAAAAAGGTATGTTTTTGAATGATAATGTGCCTTCCTTTTTCAAGGAAGGCTCATAGTATCCAGTTACTGATGGAGGAGTGTCATATAACCATTGATAGCAATTATAATTTATAAAATAAAATTTGCGGCAATAAAACATTTTCAAAACTCTTATTTCACTGCCTCTACAACAATAATTGTGGAAAAGGCTTTGAACTAATAGTTAATTTGTTGTCATCTACCACATGATAAACATTCACTGCATAATGTCATAATGCTTCATTAATGCAAATTTTGTTTCTGCCTGGATTCAATATGTTCATATTCAAACTTTTGAGTCTAATATGTTCAGCAATGCTCTTGGCCATCATTAAAATCAGAAACATTAAAATTTAAGGACAAAAAAGAAAATTTAAATTTGCATAACATTTGTACATTATCAAGATGTGAAAAGCAAAATTCTTTACTATCATTTGTTAAATAAATTCAAAGTTCAAATGATTAAGCTAGAATTTCTTGATCTGAAGAAGCCTTTTTTTTTTTTTCTTTTAATAAAATTAATACATTTTACTTTTCCAATATTAAATATTTAGCCAGGTACTAGTATTTCTATTATTCAAATAATGAATACAAATAGCAATTAGATCAGATGGCTTGTATGTAAGCAAGAAATGTTAATGAAAAGTATTCCTTGTCTAATAAAACATGCATTAAATATCTATAGAGAGATTAGATTATTCTTGTCATATTAGCTAACAAAATTTATTTTTGATTACAATGTGAGTGGGACATTAGAAACTGCACAGAAGTTTGTGCAGATTGATAGTCAGATAGGACCAATCAATAAATCAGTATTGGCAAATAATGGTACTTTATTTTATATATATATATATATTCTGCCAACATAAAAGACTTACCGGGATTTTGGAAATTATTTCATTCAGTTGAATTTTGAGAGAAGAATCTTTAGCAATGGCATAAAAGAATCCACCACCACCAGCACCTGCTAAAGACATTCCAAAGACGTGTGGCCGGAGATTTTGCATCAGGTTTCTTATAGCTGCAGGTTCACAGCCAGGTGCCATTTTTTTCTTTAGTTCCCAATATCTGTCCACACATTGTCCTACCAGTGGTAGATTACCTGAAAATAAAACAAAAATGACTAAAAGGAATAATAGCTATTTTTATTTTTATTTTTTAAGTTTGAATATACCATCCCATAATGTCTAAAGTTTTATAAATACTTTGGTTTTGTTGTAAAATCTGATGGGTTAAATATTTTTCTAAAAGGCCTAAATGATAATACATACTATCCAGTCATCTCGTAAATAACATCTGAAATATGGTAGCAACTGATTAAATATTTAAAATAGTTAAAAATAATTGCATGATAATACATGCCTAAATTTGGAACACAAGTTTATAATGATGTGACATGGGTGCCCCAAGGCAGTGTAATGGTTAGCAAACTTGTCTCGCTAGCTCAATTATGACTGAGTAGTGAGTTCGATCCTCACTGGGTGCCACATCTAATCTACACTTGGAAAATCACTATAATGATGTAAGAGTATACATGTACACTGATGATTAAAAATGAATATTTTATAAGAATATAAATTGATACAGTGGCTCAGTGAAGATAAACAGGCAAAATTATAGTTCAAAATGGGCTCTTTTTAGAGGAAAAATTTGTTAAGTATGTGTTGGTCTATTGTCACCAGCAGTTAATTTAAACGCTGCTTTAAAAGAAAAGATGCTAAATTTGACCAATTGCAATACACAACCCCATCCAGTGAAGATCACATCTTAAAAAGCTTCATTTGATTTTAGAGTAGTTTTTAAAACATATGAAAACTTTTTCTTTGTTCTTTTCCTCCAAGTCAAAAAACTTACAAAAATGGTATGATGAAGCTTGTGAGTCATTTGGATATTGATAATGATGGCAATTATGTTAATGAATAAATTCTAATTAAACATGAAATTTTATATTTCTGGTCCCAAATTTGAACATTACTTATGGGATAACCAAGTATAAAATGTTATTTTCAGTGGTGTTTTTCATTAGTTAAAATCCAGGCCTTATGGAAATAACCACACTAAAAGCAAATAGAGCTAAACATGATTGAATTATAGTTGCTAAGTGCTGAGCTTGTAATGTTTTTGTCTACATTGAATATAAATGAATGTTTTGTTTAAACATATTAAAAAAAAGAATCACTTATCTGTGAATTAGCAAATTCATGTGACATGAATAAAAAGTGGAATTATATCACATATATTTCTAACAGATTTTATATAGGAGACTGTAAAGAACATAGAGGCTTTTGTGGTTTTTGAAAAAAAAGATACTTTATAACAAAAGAAAACTTACTGTGGCATAGAATATTAAATCTTATTCTTGACTACACTGTCTATGTACGTATGTGTAAGCACTAAATGTCCAGAAATTCTTGACTCCTCAGAAAATTTTTCATATATAGAAATGAATTTACTTGTAATAAGCACACATTCATAAATTTTCTATTTGTTTAGATCTGTAGAGTACATCTCTTGATAGAAAAATTACTGACCATCTTGAAAAGCATCAGAACAGAAATGAGCTAATTTCTCCAGTTGGTCAACAGTACTTAGAATATCTTGTTTTCGGGCATACCAGTCGCGAACAACATTCTGAAAGATAAGGAAAAAAAATACATTTTAAAAATTAAATTAAAGCTACTTAAAATAAAACAAACAAGTTACAACAAATTGGCAATATTTCAGATATATAGATAGCTGATAAGTAAGCTTGTCTAGCAGGCCAATTCCCTTGTGGATTTAGTATTTAATGATCATTATAATGAATCACTTGGATTTGAACCTAGACTTAATCAGTAAGCCTTTGAAAATATTTCTCAGAGTTATTTGAGAGTCATGGATGTAGGTATCTTGTGTAAAACAGGTTGGGATGACCCTGATCATGGCAACAGGATATAAACCCTCTACCCACGTGGGGAATGCAGAGGTTTGATGTGTGCCTATCTTGCATCACTAGGAGCATTGGCCAATTATCTATATTCAGTAGCTTGATGTATGGAGAATAAAACTCCACCCACATTATGATTAGATAAGATCTGAAGAGAGTTGAAACTATTGCAGGCCTGAGCTAGCTACATATAACAAAACTTAAATCTCAGAATTTTATGGTTGATCAACATTTGTAATAATGACAATGCTTGAATAGCTTAATGTCACCACTGATGGCAAGCATATATATATATATAGAGATAGATAGATAGAGAGAATACTTGGAGGAATGACTTTAGAAAAGACATCAATAAAGCAGTGGATGAGTTATATGTATATGACACCATACTCTGGCCACACCAGGAAGCTGTACAAATACTACTGGATCATGATCAGTTCACAATGGAAGAAGAAAATAATCAGCTAGTCTTCCTGGATGTACTAATAACTCTTATGGAGAATGGGTTCAAAACTTTCATATATCACAAGCCAATCTTCATTGGACAAGGGATCATTCAATGTCCACAACACTGCAAAAATCATAAGTGGTGACCCAGATGCATACCAATAAGAATGATCAGCATCAAGTGTACTCTTCAGGATAACTACCCAGCAAACATAACATTAGTTCCTTGTTTTTGTGGGAACAGAAGGGACAAGGAGGAAAACACAAAAATTGCCACAGTCTGTGTACCTTACGTCAAGGGCTTGTTGGAAAAGATTTAGAAGATCTATGATCCAGACAATATCAGGACATTATTTAGAAGCAGTTTGACTACAGAGAAATTTCTGCCAAGTAAAATCTAACATGGTCATGTGACCAAGAATTGCATGTACTCAATTCCTTTCAGTTGTGACAGAATATAAAGGTGAAACAAGCTGGCCCCTAAAAGTAAGACTGGAGGAACATCAAAAATATGTAATGAGCAGTGAGACAATGAAATCATGCATGGCTGATCATGTATGGAAGGAAAAGGGTAGTCATCAGCCTCTGTGGCATGAAGTGAAAATACTGGACAAGAAAGAATACTGGGAAGTTAGATGTCTGAAAGAATCAGTGTATATGTTAGGCTATGAGTACCTCTTTAATGAGCCTAGCATAGAAATAAAGGGTCACTAATAAAAATAACAGCAAGTCTTCAAAAGCAGCAATCAAAACATGACAGACAGCAGCAGTTACAGCATTATTAGCAGGTAGTCAAGGTTTAAGGCTCCAAGTTCAATACAGTATACTGGCCTAGTGGATTAAAGCATTGTCACTATAGGATAATCGTGGATTAAAGTGTTGGTTTGTGAATTTGGTAACATTGATTGTGGGTTTAATCTCTAAGTTGAGTAGTGTGTACTTGGACTCATTGGAAATGAGCAAACAATAATTAAGCAGTACTAAAAATAAGAATTAGACGATATCCTTAGACATGGGCATTGGAATGAGAACATTTTGCCCCCATAGATTCAGTTCAGAATTCCCTGTAGATTGATATACACCTGATGAAGACTGGAAGGCACAGCAGCCGAAATGTGATAACAATAAAATGAGGACAATAACCTGAATGTAAATATTCAGAAATTCAGTGGTTATATCAGCTTGCTTGTCAATGTAAAAAAGAATGCACTACCCAGACCAAGCAAACACTGCAGTTACCTATATGTTGTACCAGCTAAATAAGTAAACATTAGAAAACCACTTTCTTCCTGAAAGTGTCTTTTTGTCTCTACTTACTACCAAATCAGGTTTTCCTGTAGTCATTGATATAAATAAATTCTTTGTTACACAAAACAACACTAGTCATTCCTTTTTTGGCAGTGTGTGTGAACATTATGAGATTGTTATATTTACATTTGGACTATTGTCTTCATCTTTGTTGTAGTTATCACAACATTTGAGCTATTGTGCCCTTCTGCCTTCATCAGATGTATATCAATCCAGGTAACCTACAGGGAATTTCCAAATTGAAGTCTTTATTTAATCTACGAAGAATAGATTGTTCTCATTCCACTTCCAATATCTTGTCTAGTTCTTATTTTTAGAACTGCTCAGTTATTGCTCTCCCATAACAGAGTATTGACCCTGTTTAAAAGTTAAAGCGCATAAAATTACAGGAGGGTGATTTGGCGGGATTACTAACTGGATAATAATTATTAAATTCTCACAAGAGTAGGTTGACAGAAGAAATTAAAAAATGCCATTTTTAAATTGTTTTAAAATAATAAAATGAATTTAAGAACCGTTCCATGGAGAATCAAACCCAGAATTAACTAGGCAAGCAAAACCAAGAATACATGATTAATGTGTTGTTTGAATTTCTTAGATCCTGAAAAATTAAAAGGATTTTGTTTACACTATGCTAACTATTCAGAATGTGTATGATCTTACAAATTATGCTATACAAGCAATAAGACATCTGGATTATGTTAATCCACTACACTGTGTATGTTTATGTTGAGTGCCTATGAAAACAATTATCTTCACAGAGAGATACCTAGGATGATTCTAAAGTAAACAAAAAAGTACTATGTTTTGTATTTTAACAGGTCTCCTAAGATTAAGACGTCAAATTTTGGCTGGGAAGTTGTCAATAAAAATGACAGCCTCAAGGTCAACAGACAGATGAAAAATTGGCCCAACAAGGAAGGTCACTAGAGATTCACCATGGTTGCATTTCTTACAGCTGGAGCAAAAACACTTAAAGTCGGAGATCTGGCCCAGCCAAGAGATATCAGCTTGGAGTGGTTTGGGATTGCTCATAAGAAAGTTGTCATTAAAAAGCACATCTGCAATTACTAGGCTGAAGTGAAAACGCAGACAGAAGCATGACAGAAAAATTGTGGAAGCATCGACTGACTTTGAAGAACTAAGGAAGAGTTGTTTAGTGTTTTTGATGTTTCCCAAATCACCATCCTGCAATAGAGAAATTGATTTTGCAGTAGATAATAGACATTTTATTCAACCAGTTTTTCTTTATATTCAATAAACCTGCTGTTAAAGTTTTCAACAGTGTTGTGCATTTTATTGAAACAGTTCTCATTCCAGCCTGATTCCAACATGTACTTGGTTGTAAAGAGACAAAAGTTTACCATGGTCACAAGCAAAAATTATAGACTTCACTGTCAATCCATAGGATTTTGTGAAACCTGAATCAACTTTATCAAGACAACATACTGGCTCTGACTGGGGAGGAAAAAAAAAGCAGGATGACCTGTAATGTTAGTATTATTCAACAAGCTAATGACTAAGAGGAAAAAGAGAAGAGACAGAACCTGGAGCAAGGGGAGTGTGGTGCATAAGATTGCAGAGCAATAGGTGTTGTTAGACGTGTCAATGAAAAAGGGTTGTCAACGTTTGTGTGGGTTATACCTGTTTCCAGTTAGTTCAAGTACACACTACGCAGTTCAGGGATTGAACTCACAGTTACTACGCTAACAAATTCATGAACCAATGCTTCAATCCTATTGTTTCGTAGATTGTGAGATTTTTTTCTCACATGTAAATGGAGTCCATCTTGGTTTTCTCTTGTTAGATTTTCAAAATCTATACAGTCCTTTGTGACGATGCCTTCTGCATGTCACTGTACTGTACATGTGATGACATCCAAGGTTGGCTATATGCGTATATACACCTGACTCTCTATGGTCACAGGTTTGGCTGTAATCGAATTCAACAAAGAATAACAACAAATTCTTTTCAAGACACTGATTTGGAAGTAGTGATCAATACAATTTCTCACTTAACCAGCAGTGTCCTTCTTTGAGGTGAATTGCTATCTTACTAACTTCCAGCCATAAAGAAAAGATCTTTACACTTGGTGCCTGACTGTCTCAGTGACTGCTGGTCCCTTTGTCTCGACTGACTGGGTCATTATATGTATTCTGGGGTCCCACCACCCCTATCTGTCCACTTGTGTTTCAGAAAAGGAGACCACCCATTCAGCTTTCGGGTGGTCAATTTTTCAAAGGATTCTTTTTTCAGGATTATCTAAAATTGCTAACAAATTTTTATGAAGACAAGGTTCCTGAAAACTCTGGTCTTTAAACTGACTTAAAAGATGGACTGGAGACGAGATTCCTAAGAACCCTCTGTTCATTAAATTTACTTAAAAGGGAAAAGAATCTATTTATCTCCTAAGGATGTGTGAGAAATCGTATTGTTATGCCCTTTATCTGTCATCCATCAAAAAGAAGCTTACACATTTTAAAATGAAACATTTTAGACAGACATAGAAAAAATCAAAGTGTTGATATTGATTGTAAATGCATAAACAGTCTTACCTGAAGCAAGTTCCGGGCCAACCTTGTCTTTCCAGTGTAAATTAAAATTAGAAGTTTATTAAACTCTTTGATTATTGCAGAACTCACAGGATGTTGTTTCAAATCAATGAATAAAGGGATTTTAGCCTCAGACATGCCTGTTGTTACTCCGCCCAAAAGTCCAGCTACTTGGTCTTGCCAACCACCACCAGTTGTTAAAAGCTGTTCCAGATAAATTATCTGAATCAAAAACAGTAGAAACTCCTGTATTTGTAATAACCGAACACTAACCCTGTTCAAATGTTTAATTGCTTGAAATTACATGATGGGGATTTGGAGGGGGATGACTAATTGGATAATAATTATTAAAATTCTCAGAAAAGTAGGTTGAATAGTTGAGAAAAAAAATGAAAAAAGGAACAAGTTAAGAATTATGTTTTAAATGAATTTAAGAATGGTTCCTAAAAGAAACAAAAAAGAATTACTAGCCAAAATTCAGTAAAATTGTGCAAAACTAAGGTTTCCCACCCTGTCCATCACATGATTGATGTGTTCAAATTTTCTAGTTCTGAGAAATTAAATTTTGGGTTTTGCTTACATTCATACTGTTGAAAACATATATATTCTTACAGAAAAGAGTGACCAAAATTCTTTTAAACAAAGAAAGGTTCATACCTAAAATCCCAAACTTAGGGTTTGTTTACATTCATACTATCCATTCAAAATGCATATTTTCTTACAGAAATGAATCATCAAAATTCTTTTAAACAAAGAAAGCCATCTGAGTTAAGCCTAAATCTCAAACTTGGGGTTTGTTTATATTGATGTTGTCTGCCCAAAACACCATCACATTACATTACAGCAAGAAAGGACAGAAAATTCTAAAACAAAGAAGGAGCGATGTGTGTATTAACAGATCCTCTAAGATTAAGATGGTCAGGGTTGAGAAATGAGTGATATCAATGTCAAATTTCAGGGTGGGGTAACATGGAAGATCGGGCCCAACAGAGTCATCAGAGCTTTGCTCTGGTCACCACCTCACTCTAACCCACATGCATTTCTGTGGCTCGAGGTCACACAAACTCATACATAACAGCAGTCTTGCTTCCACTAATTTTATACCAATTACTTTACATATTTCAGGGCTTTGTCTTTTACTGTCAATGGTCTCTCTGGAAATTTGTAAACTGGTGGTTTTTGTTTCACACCACGGAATTGCTTCAGAGTAGAATAAGACTGGTGCACTACTTCAGTTTTCTTTATGCTAAGTGTAAGACCAAAAGCTTTACATACAACAGAGAAATGATTTAGTAAATGTTGGGCCTCCTCATAGGATGTCACAACAAGAGCAGCAGCATCAGCAAACAACAAATAACAGATTATTTGTGTATGAAGGTGGGTCTTGGCTTTGAAGCGCTGATGATTGAAGAATCCACCAGTTGTTTGAAACTGAAACTTGACGCCACTCTCTGTGTCTGCAAATGCATATTTCAGCATCACTGAGAAGAAAAGTACAAACAGGACAGGGGCTATGACACCCCCTTGCTTGGTGCCATTCATGACATCATACCATCAAACATGATATTAGCTTTCATTCCTTCATGAAAGGAGATGATGACCGTTAGCATGTTTTCTGGAATACCAAGTTTCCTCAAGACTTGCCAAAGAGCCTCTCAATTCACAGTGTCAAAGGCCTTTGCCAAGTTCACAAACACCATATACAACTCCTGGTTCTTCCTGCAAATCATCTCTGCAGCATGACAAAGAGAAAATATCTTGTCAATGGTGACACAACCCGACCGAAAACCACACTGCGATTCAGGATAGATGTTATCAAGAAGGTGTATAATGATTCTGTTTAGAATCAGTCTAGCTAGGATTTTGCCTGCAATAAAAAGGAGTAATATCCTCCCCACCACGATTATCACAGACACTCCTGCTACCCTTGTTTTTGTAGAGATGTTTGATAGCTTGATGCAACTTTTCTACCAACTTTTGGCCACCATACTTCAGGTGGAATAGGATCCTTAGGAGTAGGTGATTTTCCAGATGAAATCTGCTTGATAGAGTCACTTACTTCTTGATAGGTAGGTTCAAAAGACAACTCTGGATTTTAATATTTGATGAGATGGCTTCCTCATCAGTAACTGAAGTGGTGTTTAACACAGTTTTGAAGTGCTCTTTCCAGTGATCCAAAATGTCTGAACTATCCATCAAGAGAGTTTCATCATCTGCCATGGAGATTAGAGCAACAACACTTTCTGAGGACCGAAAATGTTCTTGAGGTCAGCTTTTCTAAGCAGCCTTTACATCCTTTTCTATCAATGTGCTGACTTATGGGAAATGGTTCAGGCTTTTCAGACCACCAATGCTCTTTCATGACTCTGAGAGCTCGCACTGAGGAGCTGTGATACAGCTGTGTACTGTCTGCGAATGACATAATTAAGCTGTTGAAAAATATATTTCAATTGAACACTGTTGAGAGATAAGCTGATTCTATAAACAACAGCCACCTGCGCTAATGCAAAGCTCTTCAGTAAAATGAATTGGAGCCTTCTGATTGGCATTTGTTTACATTCGTAAAAACACTATGCTAGAATTAGCTGTTTCTCTCTGTTGAATGATGATATCTCAGTGGTAGAAACTCTGACTGACACCAAATTGGTCGGGTTTCGGTCCTGGCTTGAAGCGTTTGGATGTTTAGTCGCACTGAGGAGCTGTGATACAGCAAAACAGTACTGTCTGTGAAGCGAATGATATATATATATATATATATATATATATATATATATACACAAGAGGTTATTGAAGAAAAAGAAGGGAATCCTTGCAAAATCAATGTGCTGACTTATGGAAAATGGTTCAGGCTCTTTAGCATATATTAATCACATATTTTTATTTAGTTCCATAAGAGTTTTCATTTCTATGTTTATTTACAAGTGCAGAAAGAAATGCATTACACTCAAGGAGGTATGAAAATGATTTCTAAAGAGAGGTAAATATAAAAATCTATTACCAAATGTATAAGACTTCTTGAGTCAACCTTTTTCCCTGTAGCAGTGCAAATGGCTGCTATTACTGCCCCTGCCAAAATACTGCTGGTGCCTAATCCTAAAACAGTTATTAAAAGAAAAAAAAACATCATTCATGAAAAATATTTATAGTTCAGAATTTTCTTGAGAATAATTTAAATAATAATTTAAAAAAATGTTATTGCTATTAAAATATACGTAATGGAAGAAAGTAAAAAGAAAATATATAATTATTCTGGATGATAATTTGAAAAAAAAAAAGACAGTTCACTGGGTTTTGTTCCTCTTTTTCCTAAGCTCAAAGAATTTAAACAAATGTGCACTAGGACTAAAAAGATAGAAATATTGTAAACAGGGTTAAGATATACACATATGTTAATAATATATCAACCAGATCAGATTAAAACCTAACAGCCATTTCTTACTTAGGAGATTTAAATATGGTCTCTAAAACTTTCCAAATGCGAATGGTTTAAAACAAAAAACATACCAATATCTTCTTCATTTTTGAACTACTAATTATACTTTTTCTTCCTCCATTAAATATGTCTATTTTAACAGCAATAATAAAATTTTGTCCATCAAAGAAAATCTTTTTAAATAAAAATATACCTTTAATAAGGCGATTTTATTTAAAATAAAAAAAATTGTAATATCTCAAACATTTTTTATGGTTTTTGTGAATAATTTAAATTAAAAAATATATTTAGAAACTTTCTCATTAGTATTTTAGTACTTTAATTAAGATTTTTTAATGTTCTAATGAATATTTCAAATTGAGAAAATCTTTTCCCAATTTGAAATGATGAATGCTTTTAATTAGGAAAAGATTTTTTGAAAGCTTCTCATGTTTTATATTATGAAAAAAATGTTTTAAATTAAAACTAGATGAAAATATTTTAAAGGTTCTAATGAATATTTGAAATTGGAAAAATATTTTTGAAAATTTCTCGTGAATATTTTGAATTAGGAAAATATTTTCGTTTAAATTTCTCATAAAAAACTCATTCAATAATTATAAAATATTTGCTCATTTTTTGTTTATGGGAAATTGTACAAATTGTAAACAAGTGAATAATTGGTAAAAGAAATTTAAAGTACAGATTTTGTTTTTATTTACAATTTCACTTTGTACTCTGTAAAGTTTGATTTAGATTTTCATTTCTGATTGTATAAAAAAATTAACTAAATTCAAAGCATCTAAAGTTTTCTGATGTTGTGTGTACTTAGAACTCAAAATAACTTAAAGAATACATCTCTATAAAAGTATACATACCAAACAATATCTTTTAGATCACAATAAAGGTAGATAAAAAAATAAAATGACAAAATAAAGCACTAGTCATAAAAAGTATGGAATGAGAAAGAAAAATCAGCTAATAATAATAACAATACCCGATCCTTGAGGAAGGTTAGTCCAAGTATGAACCTCGAAGCCTCCTTGATATTTGGACATTAATTGTTCTTTTAATGACATAGAAGAAGAAAGAGTGATTGTCTCAGTACAAATAAAAGCTGCTTTGACTAATGCCCCTGTAGAAGAAAAAAAACAAACAAAAAAAAAAACCATAAATTATCAGTCATTTTAAAGGTCATGGTCACCTAAGCAGTGACCATGACTACTAAGTAGTGATTTAGTCCTCATTGGTGTTTCCTCTCTATTTAATCTAAGCTGAATAAATAACTGAAATGTTAGCTCTGTAGCTGCAAACTACCTAATTTTATTTTTCAAAAGTTTTGTCCATACCTATTAAATCAATACTTTATACAATATATTTAGTTTATAAATATAATAAAATTCCTTTTTAAACATTCTACAGTATTAATTATACTTTTCAAAATCAAATAAAACCAATGTTAAACTACAATAAAATGAAAAATTTACCTAAAAATTGACAAGTAGCTAAACACAAAGTTGCTTTTAACACTGTACATATTATGCATAAATTTTTTGTGAAAAAAATTGAAAAGTTTATGACTAGTTCTAGTAAAAATATTAGTAATGTTAATTCTTGAATAAAATACTTTATATTAAAAGTTAAAAAAAAATACTTGTCCTCTCAGAATTAGTTTGAAATTTTATCTTTATATTTTTTAATATAAAGATAAAATTTCAAACTAATTCTGAGAGGACAAGTATTTTTTTTTAACAAGAAAATCTTTTGCTTCTTGCACCAAATTTCTGAATTCCTTAACTCATAGATAATTAATAAAATTATTTCTACCTGATGAGTATGGATTAGTATAGTCCTCCATGTCCAACAAGTTCTGAATGACCAACTGACTGACTTCAGATACCAAAACAATCACAGGACTGAAAAGTTATAAGAAAATAAATCAGATTGAAATAAGAAATGACAGATTTTGATTCACATTCTAAACATTTTCTTTTTAACATATTTATTAATAATTCAATACAAATTGAATTTCATCCATTTTTTTCAAGTAGATATCAAAAGTCTTAACTCTATGTTTTCATTTTATATTTGTATGAATTCAAGTGGAGCTATGATTTCTTTCTTTGGGGAACAATGCTATTAGTAAATGAACGGTATAGTTTGAGAATGAAGATTTTAGGCAGGAGTTTGACAAATACAACATACAATATTAGGGGAATCTTAGAAATATCTTTGAAGTTTACTTAGAACTTTATTGCTTGTGTTATATTAAGTGTATGGTAGTAAGAGAAAGGAGTAATGAGGATTAGAGTGGAACAAATGTTTATTGTTGGTAGAGAGTACAGGAATATGGTCGGGTGTATGCATAGTGTCAGGAGTTGAACCATTTCTGTGACGGCTTGGCTGGGGTCACAGGATATGGTTGGTGCACATTCAATTGATGGCGGTTATGGTTGTAGGTTGCCTTGTCGGTTGGTCGACCTGTTGTGTTGAACTGGGGTGACATCAGATTGACGTGGTCTTGGTAGCCCTGTTCTGTGGAAGGGTGTTGACTGTGAAGGGAATGCTTTGTAAATGAGTCAAGGTAGACTGAGGTGATGATGGGTTTGGGAGGTCAGTTCTGTGGAATGGAGGTAGCTGCATTAACTGCGAAGGGAATGCCTTGTAAACCAGTGGAGGTATAGCTGTTCTGTGGAATGGAGGATGCTGCATCGACTGCAAAGGGAATGCTTTGTAGACAAGTCGAGGTCTGTTCTGTGGAGTGGATGCTGCTGGGGTTGACTGCAAAGGGAGTGGAATGGAGGTCACTGTGAAGGGAATGCCTTGTAAACGAGTCGAGGTAGGCCGAGGTGACAGCATGGGCTTGTGTTGATGAAGGCTTGTAGCTGGGAGGAATCGAGGTTGGGATGTTTTGAGTCAAAACTCGATAGCTGATCGTTACCACTTCCTGGTCAAGCCAGGAAGTGGGAACGATCATTGAAATGTATGGTCATGTTGAATGGTGGCAGTGGAGCCGGTGACAGCGGCAGTAATAGTGTGGTGGCCAGTTCGCAACTCTGTTGTCATGGTGATGGTAGCAGCAGCAAAATGTGTGCAATCAGGCAATTGTGTATAACTGAAAAAAAGTGGTCCTCAGAGCCTGCTTTTAAGCAGGCCTGGTAGTCCCAAGTGTTACTGGTGGGAATGTTTGTGATTGGCCACTGCTGGATTTCACTTTGAAGACCAGAAAATGACTTTTGTTATTTTGTCTTCTGCCTTTGTAGCCGTCACATCTGGCCATTGTGCAGAATGAGATCTAATCGTGATGGAGTATAACACTTGTGTGTTCAAATTCTTTAACAGTTGTTGATGGAAATAATTTTACTTTATTTTGTTGAAAACCAAACCACACATTTGACACAATTTAATTTTCATGTTTAATTTTGCCAAAATGCAGTAAAATCTACTGGAATTGACCAATGGAGTTTAGAATTTTTGAAGTTAAAACAAAGTTGGTTTTAAGTTGTGACACAACAGGCTAAATGTAGCAATTAGAATTATGAAGTTTTAAATTGTAAAATAAACAGTACAAAGTATTTCTGGGACTCAAAACCAGATTTAACTGTAAAATTACAGTTCATGCAAGTGTTTTCCTAGAAATCTTATGAATGTCTTGCAAATTAAATCTAAAATCTTAACAGAGTTATTCAAACTTGGTTGATAGTCAAAACATTTTCCACACATTTTTATTATTTACTCTGGCAATAATATCGATGGCTAGAATTTGCTGAAAATTTAGTGTTTTCTGGAATGTGAGATAAAGTCATAATTAATAATGAATATAGCATGAGAAAAATATTTTTCCTTATGAAGGTTACAAAAATTGGCTTTCTATAATTTAATGGTGAAATGAGGAAGTTACTGTCATGTGAGAACAATCAAATTGCTTGATCATTAAAATGTAACTAAGTGTAAGTTTTCAGTTTTATTTTCTAACTGTTATAAAATAAAATAAGACATATCTCGGCTGATTTACAGGCAAATAAACTAACGTACTCAAGAGCGAGAGCCGGATGAGAATGGGACAAGGCCCCGTCACAAAATGACCATTATCTTCGTTTATGCATGTTCCTGACGCACGCGTTCTGGTCGAAAAATAAAATAATATTTTAAAATGTTTCTATTTTTCGACCAATAAAAATGCTTCCCTCCTAATTATACTCGCGTCGTTTCTTGAGCCTGTTAAGCCATAAAAAAACTCCATAAAAGGGGTCACACGGAAGTACAACGGCAGTCAACAGGAGGCCAGGGAAGAGACCTGTCACGGTCAGGATGAGCAGTCAGCAGCAGCCAGCAGCAGTAGCGCCATGCAACCAGCGAGAACTCGTATGAGAGATCAACCCAGATCTTCAGCTGGCCTATGAACTATACCACAAGGTAGCTGTCCCAAATCCACACGTTCCTATTGAAATAAATCACGTAAATCTATTTCTACTGTTGTCGTATTTCTTTCTTGCAACCATATGCTTGTCTATAACATAACTGAGAACCATGATAGTCTTCAATTTTTTCAAAACTACCTTTTTATGCTGTTATAGTTTTCCAGTTATACATTGAAAATATTCTGGACTTATTTCTACAATATTTTTTTATTCATTAACTTTAAAGTAAATTTTTTGAAACTGTCCAGAATGCAATTTTGTCATCAACTTGAAATTTTGAGGATTTTTTTCTACAAATGCTCATATTTTTACATTTCAGTTTTTCTCTAAAATATTTTTTGTAAATGGTTAAACAGTTGGTTTAGTAGAGACAGCGAACTATTATGTTGGGTTTGCAACCATGGTTGGTCAATCTTTCTTAACTTGATTACTTTGTGAGCAAAAATAATTTGGAAAATCTCCACTTTTTGCGTCCTTAATATGATAAGTTCCTCTCACAAATTTGGTTGAGGAAATGGTGGAGGAGGTTGAATGTTTGGTTACCACTCCTGGCTGCTTCTCCCAGTGACAACTGCCATAAGGCAAATAATTGGCTGACTTATATTGAAGATTTCTTGATGTGTTTGGGGATTGGGATAACTGATTAATGACCCTCAAGTAGCAATCAATCACTTTCCATACCAATTTTTCTTGGTCAATCTTTTGTTCACTTCCAGCCATACTACTGTAATTTTTCACCATTAGGATGAGATGATGCTTGTTAAATTTGGATAATTAAAGTCTCTGCTGAAATCCTTCCCACCTGCCTTAATTCTAAATGTACTTTCTAAACTCAACACATTTTTTCTTTCAGTTCAGAGGTTCAGTAAACAAATTAATCTCTTGAATAAAGTGTCTGTAAATTATGATTAGCCGGACAGAAAAGTACATGTTCTGATTTCCATCAACTAGCAGACTTCCAGGTAAATTATTTAAATTAGTTTCTTTGTCAATTCTAGATTCTTTTCTCAAAATTCAATTTTTCTTTTCTTTCAAACCATATTTCAAAATAAAGAATTTTATTTGGTACAAACTAGATAACTTTAGAGTATTTGTAAAATTAATTTACCTATATCACTCTTCCAGGTTAATTCCATTTTGATTGATTACCAATTGTAGAATTCAATTACTTATAAAATCCACACTAGTAATAGTCAATATTTTAAACCACCATCCTACTATTTTCATAGTAGTGGAATTTAAATTGAGATACAGTATATGTCCATCCTCATTGGGAAAAAAGTGCAAATTTAGCTCTTCACATTGTGTGTGTGTGTGTACATTCTAAATTTTAAAATAACTTTCTCAGAATAAAACAGTTCAAAAAATCAGAAAAGAAACAAGAGACAAGTTATAAATTTTGAAATTCAAAATACTTAATGTGAGTTTCAGACCTTAAAATAGAATTCTGGAAATCTTGTAACAGCACTTTCATAAAAATCTAAAATTATATTTGTCAGCTATAATTTTTCTAATATTCTTTTATATCATTTGAAAGAGCAATTTATTAAACCTGTATATTTTCTCTCAAAAAGCTTTTTTTCATTAAGTTTTTATGGAAAATATTAATTTGAATGTCATAATAACTGCTTTTTCAGGTGAATTGTTGGAACATCTTAGTCATCCAAGTGTGAGGAGATAATAGTTGTTATGTTAGCGAAATGAAATTATTGTTGTCCCTGTTATATGCAGATAAATTTTCTGATAATTTCAGTGGAAATTATAAAGCTTCAGCCAAAATTAACAATAGCATCTAATTTTATATTCTTTTATGTAGCCACAAGATGAAGCACATTTAAATTGGTTGCTAAAATGTATCTAGGGTTTTCCTTTTTAAATGAACATTATTTCACTGTTATTCAAATAAAGCATATCTATCATAAAACAATCTACTCTCCTAGAATTCTTTCTGATAATATGCTTATTTCCTTTTGATAAGAAATAAAAAAAAATATGAAGAAAATTCTAAATATTTTAAAGAAATATCTGAAATGAGAAAGAAAAAGAAATTTATCAACTATATTATGAATACATTTGATGAAGAAGTTGGATAAAAAGAATCAAAAACCACACAATGAAAAAATACAACAAGAGAATGTTTTTAAATTTGTTTCCAAACTGAAATTTTTCAACTGCTGTAGTATTTCAATCATTATTTAGAAATTAACATTTGAATGTCATTTAACTTCAATTTAACCTCTGTATAAAATATTTTAGTATACTTTTATATTAATGAATTCATGAAACTTTGAATAAAACATTTAAAACTAATATTTTTAGGATTTTGACAAAAATATTCCAACAGAATTATGCTGGAATTAATTAACAATTGTTATAATGATATCATTTTTTGGTACTTGGCTAGCAAAAGAAATGTGCCACCTAATTGAAAATCAATTCATTTAATGTTTATTATGAAACTGTAAGTATTTGATAATATACTTTCAAGAGTTGTA